ATCACACGCTCATAGAGACTGCGTACTACAGTTGATTATAGTTTCTGGGCTCCCTGTGCTTATATTGTTATTTTGATATTTTTTTTTTAAATTATGAAGAATTGATAGTTTTAATAAATATGTTTGTAGGTGCCTCGAAAGGTAAAATATCTGGTAAAACAGCCATAATTTAAACAGAAGCGGAGAAAATAATTTATTTGAATTTTTTGCTTCATAGCACCCATAGTTCACTGTTACCGGATCATAGCTGTTTTAAGTAAAGCAGACACCAACAACTTAGATTTGGATGCAAACTATTTTCCTTTTAAGTATATATTTTTTTGATAAAAACTGCAATTCTGCAAGTACAAAATCGAAAAATTCTCTATCCTGTAGATTTGATTCAGTTTGATCATTTTGCTTTTTGGTGCCGATGACATGAAACCATGTTGATTGTATTTTACAGTGATGACTGTATTGTCAGATAATAATAAACATGTAATATGCATAATGTAACTACAATATAATGCTTTGTTTCCAGTATTTCAATATCCATGTCAATGATCCATGTTATAATTTCAGTGACCCAACCCATTGACATCCAGCCCTGCCAAATGTCATGTCAAAGCTCAAGTGCCACGCCCACTTCTTTTGCGTACCCATCACACCACATTCCACGCATCAATTGGTGTAGGTAAGAAGAGATAATCAATGATTCACAAGTAACCCCAGACTTTAGTGTGAACACATTGGCTTACTCAACAGCCCAAGGCATGGAGGGAAGGCTTGATTATGTTTTTTCTAGTGCAACTTTTACCCTCCAATTTCGTGTTGTCTTCATCTGAAGCCCGAGCATTCAGGTGATGGTAAATCAGCACATGGACGAGACATTCTAGATCTTAAACTGAATTTTTGACCGATCTTTTATTGGATGCTAGTCTGTTAAATATGCAGCTGATTGGCGATGAACATCGTCTTTTATACACTGGTCGTCATTCCATGATACATAAAAACAAAGTGGAAATGTAACCTGATAGTCATGCAAATAAATGACTTTTCAAATGAAAGTTATCATTGCGTAAAAACTGTTTACAACTCGAACACCCCCAGAATTCTTGAGTTTCGTCTTAAGATTTCGAAGTGGCTCCTTCTTACCAGGGGAAGTACTGTCATGAATTAGTTTTTACGTATCTGTTGTCCGACTTATTTAGCTGATTACTAGTGAATGGCTGTGTTATATCTGTCATCATTTAGGCTCATGCGAGGTCCTGGATGGAACTTGACTCAGTGATTTGGAACTAATTACGAGATAACCATCGCTATTCGGACTACTATTTCTGACAGTTTGTATTCGCAGTTAGTAATATAGTGAACGATTAATCAAAAGATATGACGTGTCCATTATTTAGTGTGATTGGCTGAATGTGTGAAGGCCATGCCTTAGAGTATTTTAAGTTCTTTGTAATTGGTTAAGGTTTTGAAAGTGAATAAAGGAGTTTTAGTTGGTCTTGGCGAGAACACCACGAGAGACGCAGTCTTGGATCAGCCTTGCGATAGTCTTAGGGACTTTCCCCCAGGGCGCTGCGTTTTATAGAGTACTCGACTGACCGACTAAAGTTGATATGTATTTCGTTGTGTGCGTCTATTTGACTGTAGAGCTTAAGTGACTTTCCCGGTCTGGTACTTCAAGCAGACGAGATATAGAGACCAGACGATATTCCCCCCTGACACGTGTGGGAGAACCCCGAAACCCCGACCGGGGAAGAATTTCCCCCTGATAGTACTATGGGGTCATAGTGAAATCGTACACTTATCAGGTGCCACACCATTTATTCAATACAACATTTTTATTATGTTGGTTTCCAGCCATCTTGAAATCGACAGTGGCAGTTATTACCCCAGAAACAAAAGTGAACAAAATATATAGTTAAAACGTCAGCAGTGGGTAAAATGTGGCATGAACTCACAAGTCTGTACTTCAAACTGGATGAACAACAAATCTAATTATTTATTTCACTCGTTCTGCTGTCAATCTGCACCATCGAGCGTAGGCGGTTCAATAAACGTTTCTTGGAAGGTTATTTAATATGTAATTAAACTGCAAAGGTATTTAGTGAATAAAGATGCAGTAAGATATCAATGCAATGAATAGTTTGTTGCCTATTGACATAAACAATATATATTTTTGGTATTATTTTCCTATCTTATTACTCGCACTGTAATTATTTTCTATCAAATATGCATTTGTATTAAGCTTTCAGTGAAAATGATACAAAGTCTATAAAAGCTGAATTTAATAGTGGGAAGTACATCAATTGTTGAAGAGGCATCAATTTGCATTTCTGTCATGTCATAAAACGCCCCACCTCGATATTTAAATTTTGAAATTTGAAATGTGCTGGTGTTCCTGTTTGCATGTAATTGTAAAAATAACAATAATACGGCTATTGTATAATCTCCTATAGCAATTTAGATCACTACAAAATGGAGTTTACGATGGTTTCAATGCAACCTGTACGTGTTTCATTTGAGTTTTGAGCTTGGAGTACAAACAATGTCACTTCGACCAGTAGACAGTGATGTTCGACTATTTTCTGAACACTCTACTTCGTAAGTAACACTTTTACGTTGGAAATATATATAGCAAAGCAGTTTAAATTCGACCATAAACCGATCGATCTGATTATGACGATGCAACAAAAACAATTTGACAGTATGCCCAAATGTGAAAACAAGTACTCATTTTCACTATTCCGAAAATCAGAATTACCTCTGGAAGTACTAGTAGAAAATAAGTACAGTGTTCCGTAAATTTACGTGGCGGTGTTGTTTTGTGTGGCGTCGGTGTTTTCCGCTGACCATAATTCATTTATGAATCATTTTTCTAGTTCTAGTTGTGTATAGTTTTTACATATTTGCAAATTCTTGTCTGTATACACTTTTTTTGGAATAATGTCGATTACTATTTTTTTACTTCCGTGTGTGGGGTTCAAACGTATTGTATTTGTCTTTATGCTGTCTATTTGTTTTCACTCAAAATATTGACGTCAATGCTATACTTAACATACAGTTATAACGTATTAGATGTTGGTAGCAACCAGTTTTACTATTTAATCAAATAGTCATTCAGCTTTGTACAGCATGATTAATGTTGCATACTAGTAGTTGGGCGGTATGAAATGTGCTAGTGTACCATAAAAACAAGTAAGTTCATTCTGTATGAATTCTATAGTTTTTCTGTTTAGAATCACTTTTCTGAAATGCACACACGGAATGTGGAACAGTAAAATATGATTGAATAACATTGGTGTTATAAAATATGAAAACAACTACTAATATTTCTAATACTGCCTGAATTAGTTGAGAGTGATGGAATAAATAGTATGAATGTATAGTCTCAAAATTAGTCAAGGTTGAATTTTGTATTGTTGCTATCGTGCCTTATTGACACATGTCCTATATTGACTTTCACACTTCAGCAATATTTCAAAGACAGGTAAAATTTAAAACTATCACTGTGGAGCAGAATGTGCTCACTCTTTTCGAAACAAACAAACAAACAAAC